CTATGTCACGCGGGATCAGTTGGATGCCTGGATTCATTAGTAGTAGTAGCTAGTAGTAGTAGTAGTTAAAAAGTTTTTAGTTTAGAGTAGTAGTAGTAGTAATAACAACAACAACAAAAACACAATAATAATAATGATAATAATAATATACTAATAATAATAAATATAATAATAATATAATAATATTAATAACTATATAATAAAATAGTGTTATTATTCCTAGTGGGGCGTAAGCCTAGCAACAACAGCGGTTGCAAGTTTCATCGAGACGAGCTCTGGACTGGGCACAACGTGGACGAGCTGCTGGTGGGCGTGCTGGCGCAGGTGCCAGGCTGGAACCCTCGTCGGGCGTGGCGGCTGCTGGCTGGGCGTCGGCGGCGGGCCGGCGGGCGCGGGCGGGCGACGCGGGGGGCGGCGGCGGCGGCACGGCCGACTGGGTACGGGTTCTATACCACTTGGCGTGAGGCGGTGCGGGGGCGGCGGCGGCGGCGGGAGGCGGGCGTGCGCGGCCAGGGGATCGCGTGTGCGCGCGGGCCGCCCGCGCCCCGCCGGAGGGGCTTCCTGGCGCCAGCTGCTGGGCCTCAAAGCGCAAGTCGCGGTCGCTGCGAGAACCTGCTCGGCTCTAGCCCGAGCCGCACAAGGGGGGCGCGTCGGCCAGCAGTCAGCTTCGAAGGGGGGGCTGACGTCGACAGTGGTTTTCGAAACACAGGTGGGTTGGTGGAATTTCGGAATCGTGGAGCTGGAGAGTACCGTTACATGCGGGCTAACGGACGTGTCGAAGATTTCTGGAGATTTCGCGGAGCCCCGGTGGGGGGCCGGAGGGAGGTCCGGAGGGAGAATATTCCGGCAAAGCAATATATGAAGATATGATACATCACGATTCGAAGGGAGGAAACGCCCTCCTGACATAACAATGTACAACAGGGAAAATGGCCAATAGCAGTTGACCACTTGCTGAAACGCAAAAAAATAACCCAATCAAGTAAACAAAGATTTACTTTTTTTCGAATTTGGATCGTTCAATGCATTGGCGGTAGATTAGTTCAGGACGGTTTAAAGTGGGCTGCCTCACTTGGGGGTGCTTTGCCCCACGCGCTTATTCTGCGGGACGTTGCCCGCTGCTTGTTTGAATTTCCCCGAACAGAATGGAAGGGAGGTGGCTCGGGTCGTGATATCCTGCCAAGGAAATTTCTCGAAACATTATTATTTTAACCATACTTCTTAATATTATTAACTTAATGCGTGAAATTGTATTCGTCCTCAATGGACCAGATTTGAGAATCGGAAACAAGTAATCTTTGCGGCTTTTTTCCCTAAAAATTTCTTCGTAGCTATGGTTTAAACAATCTGCAGTTAACTCAGGGAAATTGAAGGAATCAGGTAATATATCTTTTTGAAGAGAGAAATTGGCATTCAAATTCACTGTTTTTTTTCCATCAATGAAATGTTAAATTTCCTTTATTTTTGACGCTTTTGATCTTCCTATTATAATTCAGTTTCAAGGTTGTCTTACTTCATTATTACGTTGGACTCTATGCCAGACCGTAAGCATAATTTTTCTGTAACATTATTTTGACTTTTAAATATTATAAAAACATGTGTAAGCTGAACAATAGTGTAGCGAAACATACTCCCAAAACTATGTTTTTTCTTTGCTTTTGTACATCTCTTAGCATTTTAGGGATTGGATCATATACGCTGCAAGAAATCTTATTTGTCTTTTTTTGTCGGTGAGGTTTGAGGTCGGTGCCATTTAGTAATGGTTTCCAGACGGTTTACCCATCCAGGAAATCGCGTTGCATCTCGAGTTGCTTAACTTCATGACTTCATGGAGCGTAATTAACCTGCTTAACCCAGGGATGGTCCATTTTGTGTCCACACAATTTTAAAATTGGAGTAATGCGATCCAACCGCTAGATTTCTGATTTTGTGACAGAAATAGAAATGACTTTTGTTTCCATACCTCACTGTCAATATTAGGGACTGAATAACAAACTGTGAAACCAAACATTAAGTGTGCACTAAATGCCCGCTCCTTTGTCTAAGGTGTGACTAAGTTTTCATCATCTTGCACAATTTTTACTCAACAATGAGGTTATTTTTAAAATCATATTTTATTTCCCAATATTTTTTGGAAGAAAAAAATACTTCAAACAGTATTTTTAGTAAATAGTGTTGGAATCAATGCTTTCGTCATCGCAGGGTGCATGCAACAAAATGAGTAAATACTTATCAGAATCCGCTTTAATAATGAGAATAAGATGATGAGTTTGATGAAAATGGAGAAACGTCATCCAACTCGAGTGCAAATGCAACTAAGATACATATTAAAAATGTTTAAGCAAATAAAGCCTTGTAACGTCATATTGATGGTAGACTTTTTTACTTTCCATTATAACATACGTATATACGGAGTAATATACATAGTTATAAGGAAAGTTATGAAATGCTGCGCGGAAAAACGGCGGGTTTGGGGGAAAAAATTCATTGTCGGGCACTGGATACGAAAAAGTGGATAACCAGTTTGCTACATTAAGAAAAAATCCTTTCAAGCACGTGGTGTAGTCAGAATTTCTTGATCCCTAAATCGACTGACGGAAAAATCTGTCGTCCGTCTGATTGTATGTGAACAACACTAGTGTTTAAACTAGACGTACGATTTTTTCCAAACTTCGTCGATTTGGGCCTGAGTCGCAGCTCGCCATTTTGAAAACATTCATTTAATTTTTGGGGAACTTTACATGAAGACCCTGATTTTTAAAACTTTTCTCAAAAACGACTCAGATATTTTTTCTTTAATTTCTTGTACGAATAGAGTACAATACACCTTATAAAGGTGGCATTGGTCAGATTTTGAAAGAAATTTTAGAAATTTTAAAAAAGAAAGATAGAAATTATTTTCTTTAAATCAAATTTGTTCTCATAGTTGATGTTTTTCATTAAGGTCATGTAAGTTTTTTTGAAAACTTTCAGTAGTTTTTTAGCGGCAATATTGGGAGAAATATGAGCAATTAAAAAAAGTGTTTTATTTGTTTATGATTTTATGCTCATCTGCGGCCAGTTGAATGGATTGTTCTTTCCTTTGGCACATTTTATACCTTTTGCGAATTAGGGGTTTATTTGCCTGATGATTTGTTTGAAAAACTTAATCATGTTAAAAACCGAAATTCCGTTTATTTGTGTTAGACCATATTTTTTATCATTTTATATTTGCAAGTGTTTACTTTATGCTTTTGTTACAATACATTAACAATTCTGCACATACACTACTTATTGTTTAGAAATTTTGTAAGACCTCATTATAATTTATTGTTAATTGACAATTACAATATATTGCTGCATAAAAATGTATAATACAAATTATTTATTTTACTGCATTTTGAGTATTTGCAGTATTTTAAATATAATGTTTTTAGAAATGAACACTTAATCTATTTGAGTATCGTGTATTTAAATATTTGTTTAGCAAAGTAAATTTTATCAAGTATTTAAATACTAATTTAAGTATTTTGTCCAACCCCTGATATAGGTGTAAGCCATTTCCTCCTAGACTGTTTGCCAGAGTAGATACCTGTCTCAGTAGCTCAAGTGGTTAAAGCAACTAAGCACTTATCAAGATATGTCCGGTTTGGATTCCTGGCTGGAGCAGATAAAGGTGAAATATCCTTTGAACGGTCCACATATCACTTTGCAAAATTACTTCTGTAAAGTAAGCTGTGGGTTCACAAAGTTAGTTGGCATTGGGGAGACCATGCAACATCATTCCTACGCTATTGTTAAAGCTAACACAGTGATAAGTGTGAAAAGTAGAGTATTTTTCATTATGTAAATAACTTTGACAAGTAAAATGTAACTTGAATGTTAGCCAAATTTTAATTCAAACTTACTTAAAAACTGCAAAAAATATAAAAATGATGAATAAAATTATCTTAAAGAAAGCTTTCTTTAGAAGTATGCACATATGAATTGTTGTGAGTAGTATTTGGCTTTCTTTTTGATTGGATCAGTTGTCAAATGAAGAAAAACTATTTTTGAAGATTTAATTTCGTGATTTCAATTTAAAACAGTCAATTGGTTTTTGACAGACTCCCTTTTAGCTATGGGCATTCTCAAGATTAAGGAGACAGGTAATGACAAAAGAAATCAAAATATTATTTATTTTTCATTAATATACTCAAGTTATACTCGTCCATCCCTTACTAATAGTGCCTCAACATTTCTTTGAATTTTTTTCATATAATTATTTCCTGATTTTTTGGAATGTTGTGCATTGGAAGAAAATATATACACCTGTAAGCAGACATTCATACTAGTAAAAAGGATGCTTGGAACTGATAATGGTTTAAACATTAGATTGAAAATGAGGGAAATTTGTATTACAATTTTATAATTTTTGCATTACAGACAACATTTTTTAAAAAATATGGGTAATATTAGCCTTGAGCTTTTACTGATCACTTTTATCAGGATTCAATAAATTCTGTATCAAGATAAAACTTTGATGCAAAAAATGTCCTTTGCAGAAATTTTGATATTAAGAAATTCAAGATTAATTAATGTTTGTGCTCTCCTTCTGTATTTTGGCCCCAGAATAGACAAGTATACAGTTCTGAGCACAGACTGCTGCTTCCTCACTGAGAATTATATAATTCTTTGTATAAATAAAGTGGGTAGGGAGAGAATAGGGGTTTAAGTGTTCATTCAGGGTTTTTCCAATCGGCGTTCGGATCCTTGTCATCTCTTCAAAATGAAGAGAACATCTAAACAATATTATTTGTATCGGGTAGCTTGGATCTTCCATAAGACCTCCTTGAAACTGAAATGGCTCACTTTTAAATCAGTGTATTGTTTCATGAAAGATGTACTTATTTAAAGACATGAGAACTTAGACTGGAGAATCTTACTTCAAATACTGTGTGTTTGGTGTACAATGTTGTAGAATTTTGGCCTACAAATATTATGCAAGTTAATGATACAAAGACATGGAAGAGAGAAGAATCACTTTATATCATATAGATAATAATTATTTTCCCGGAATGTGCGTTTTGGGGCCAATATTTTTTTAATTGAGGTGGGGCATCACTAAATGTTAAGAACTACGGTGTATTCATGTTTCTGAGTAAAGTAACTTAACAGGAGCATGGACCACAAGTTTCTGTGAATATGGCAAAATGAAGAGGAAAAGAAGAAAATAGCATTTTTTTTCATATTATAAGGGTAATATAACAATTAATATTTTTTACTTTGTAAATTATATATGTGTGATTTTACAAAAACCTGTTTTGGTGTACATGTTAAATAACACTGGAAATATTTCCATAGTGTAACATACGAATGAATATCTAGCCAAATATAGAAACGTTCATAGTATATCAAAGAGGAATTGTTTATTTTAACTTTACTTAAATCTTAGTTTTCTCCTTTTCACCCACATTACAAATAATAATTGTATTTTATCCTAGAAAGCTATGTTAAAAGATATCTGTGACAATCACTTTCAGAAAAAGGTTCCATTCCGACATCCGCTATCAAAGAAATATTCTTTTAGTTCAAACAAGCTAAACTTTTATAATATTCTCACTGACAAAGTGGTTCATTTCACAGCAATTGTGTCATCATTAAATTAATTAATCTATAGCTTTTAACAATTTATATTGTTGTTGTGTTGAGGAAGTTTAAGTTCGTTTTAAGAGTTGATGTCTTTGCAGGGAACAGCTGTAATCATGTTCATGATATTACCCTAGAAGAACATAATTTTGAAATTCCTTACAAATTTTGTTACTATTTTCTATATGCTACTTTATTCTTTTTTGTTTTTTTCAAAAATCTTTTCCAGCAAACAACAGTATTCCCACACTACAACATCATAAGGATAGCATGCATCGTCCCGAAAGTGTAGTGCACGCGAATGGTGAGGTCCGGCGCCGAGCAACGTCCGCTTGCCGGAATTTTTCCCCAACCGGGTATCTCCCATCAGCATGGCATCGCCCTCGCTCCCGCATTAATTTTTTTTTTTTACTTCACATCGCAAGAGTGATAATTGTTGTAATACATATTTACAATTCATGATATATTTCGTATTTTTTTTTTATTTTCTTTACTTCCTCTTAAAGTTTAAACCTGAAATAATCATTATTTGTGTGTGTGTGTCACTCACTGGCGGTGGAGACCTCGCGGCGCCGCTCCAGGTCCGCCTTGTTGCCCACGAGGATGACGCCGCGCGCGCCCGCGTAGTGCGCCTTCCACAGGAAGCGCACGATGTCCTCGGCGACGCGCAGCGACCGCCGCTCCACCACCGAGTACACCACCACGAACACGTCGGGCTGGTGCAGCTCGCAGCACCGCTCCACCTGCGGGCGGGCGGGCGGTGGCGCGTCACTAGCGATGCCGGGCGCGGCAACGGCTAAGGTCCCCTTAGTCCCATGTTCTGTGCCCTGAAGAAGGCGGCGGTCTTCCTCCCGAGCTCCGGCGCCGACCTGCCGTCGCGGCTAGCGTGGTTTCTCCCAACCGGGTGTCTCCCACGAGTGGGGCGCCGCCCCAGCCGCGACAAGCTCTCCCCGCGTGTGTGGAAGTGAAAGTGTGTGTTAGGAGTGAGGGTAGGACAAGGAAGATGTAGGTAAGATCGCGCGTGGTTCGTGACCCGTTTGATAAGGTTCCGCTCCGGCATTCGCCTGGTATAGGAGAAACCGTGAAAACTACACATAAGAGCAGTCTTTAGAATTCTCCTCCAGACCCGACAGAACTCGACCCACCTGGGGAGAGACACAGCCACTAAGCCCAGCACTCACCCCTGTCGCTCACGGTCTACTTTTTTTTCTTCCGTTTTTTTTTCCAGGTTCGGGATGGCGATTTTCGACTATTCGCGCCGGATACCCACTGTATCCCACTTCGGGACACATATTAACTGGGGTAAGCAGACTCACAAGGTCTTCCGCAACAACACACATACATGAAAGACAAGATACGAACAACAATGTCCCCGGCGGGACTCGAACCCGCGACCCTTCAGAGCGAGGCGGTGAGTCGTCATGTGCTCTAGCCACCTCGATCATCCAGGACGGCGCCGCTCGACCTTAACGATACCTGTTTACTTGAATGGGCGAGTAGAAAAACAGTTCTAGCCCAGAAAGTTAATTCTGAAATAATTGAAACAATTTTCTTATTTCAGAAATATACTAAGCTATACGAATATGTTCTGAGGAATAATTGCGATAAAAACTTTATTAACGACGGATTATAATTTAAACAAAAACTGTGTACTTGTCTGTTTTTCATCTCAACGAAGATTAACCGACCAAATATCTTGCAAAATAACAATGTATCACAAAAATAGCTCATTTTGTTGTAGTAAGAGTGGACATAAGTAATATAATTTGGGTTCGTCCAAATTTAGGTAGAGTTTATATATTGTAATATATTCCTTTTCAAGGAATTTTTTGTGAACAGGCTGAGTTTGAAGTTCAATTCACTCGGCAAAACTTCACTGAATTTGATGAGTAGAGTGCAATCTTATTTGGAAAGGATTCTGCGTGTTCTTTTATCTTAACAAAATTTTCGAACTTGATAGCAAGAGGTCTGTTATTATGCTTTTTTCTCTTTCGTCTTTTGGAGATAGACCTGACAAAGAATTCCTGACGGTCGTTGAACCTGAAAATGTGATATTCCATTTAAGCATGTGAATGCTTGCTTACAAACTTAACTGTGAATACATTCTTTCAACGGAAAATAACGAAAATTACTGGCACGTTGCTTACTTTCCCCTCACTTTTCGCTCTTCGGCTCATTACAGGCATATTCACGATCAGAACCAAACGAGTAAATTATATTAACCCCGTACCACAGGAAAAAACAAACAAATGAGAACCGTCTGCTGCGAGTAGCCGTAGGTGTCAGATGTCTGAAATATTGAGTGGAAGTGCAGTACATGTCCAGGATAGACACTGTTCTTTCATTCATCAAAGAGAACGAGCTGCCTGATTTGAAAACAAATGACCTCACATTGAATTGTTTTCAGTCTCAACATGTAGTTCCATGACTTCTGTACCAATTTCTGTAAAAAAAAGAACAATTTTGGACAAGTACTGTTTTTTTACTCATCCATTCAAATAATTCATTTATAGTGACTTTTGACGTTCGATCAGCTGGACACGATTATTCAAATCGGAGCTTCGTTACGACATAAGTTCCCAATTAAATAACCGTGACCAGCTGATGAAACGTCAGAAGTCACTATAATTAAATGGGAGCATGCATATTTTCCACGCACCTCTTCATTGCGACTACTCTGCCGCTCCCCCGCCTCTCGCCACTTCCACTTCGTCCTGCCACTCGTCCCTGTCACACTCCACTGCACTTCTCTTGTCGCTTACATGACACAAGCCTCTGTCACTCTCCTTACCATTTCTCCCGTCACTTATCTGTCACTAGCCTCTGTCATGGGTATCTGACATTCATCCCTATCTCTCGCCCTTGCCACTCACCCTTGCCAACCGCTCCTACCACTCCTGTCCCTCTCCCTATCATTCCTCTTGTCACTCACCTCAATTACCCTGTCACCAGCCCCAGTCACTAGCCCTGCCACTTGCCCCTGTCACTTTCCCTACCACTCCTGTCACTCCCCTGTCAGTGGGTCCTGCCACTCGCCCGTCGCTCGCCTCTGCCACTCTCTCTACCACACTTCCTGTCACTCACCTGTATCACTCGCTTCTGTCATTAGCACCTGCCACTAGCATGTATCACTCGGTTCTGCCTCTGGCCTCTACCACTCGCTCCTGTCACTCTGCCTACCACAACTCATGTCACTTACCTGTGTCATTAACCTCTGTCACTAGCTCCAGTCACTCGTCACTGCCACACCCTTTACCTTTCATCATTGCTCTCTCGCTGTCCACTTTTGGCTTCAGGCAAAAAACCTGAATCAAATACCTCGAATGCCAAATACTTGGTATTTTTAGAAAAGTTCCCGGAAAAGTACGACGTACGTTCTCGCTGTGGGTTCAAGAACCGTAGGGGCCCATCGGTTTCGTTCGTCGCCGTTCCGCACGAATGAGAGGAATGACACGGAAATGCTTTGAATTCTAAGTGTGTTCGTGTCGTTTGCCCATAATTGTTATCCTAGCCCCATGAGGTTACATCGCAGTGGCTCTCACTGCAATAGATCCTCTCTCCCCCGGAATATGATCAATGCGGAGAACTCTATTTAGAACGAAAATTGGTTTTAATTATTAAATTATTGCTCGGCATCTTTTCATGAGGGACACTGAGGTAGGGAAATGGTAGTGAAGCAATTTGACACGAATGTATAACGTTAGCTGTAGCTCTGTAATACAATTAAGCAAGTTTAAAATGTAAGGGGAAAGTATTTAACAGGACAGATTGTACATTTGTGAACATTCTTTTATATTACTGTAATTATTGGTTTCATATAACGCTAAAGATACGAACGAAAAGCGGTAAACCGGACATTCGGTTTATTCGTTCACAGTTCATAAAAAAGAAACCACAGAATTTCACCACCCCCTTGTTCAAAGGCTCCATACACACTACAGATAGAGCCAATTTCACCGTGTGTGGTTGCACATCTTGTTCTTGTGGGCCCGTCCGTTTGAAACCGTATCTCGAAAGCCCCCACACCAGCCGGTCAAACGCCGGCCTTCTATCTTTGCCTCTAAGGCCCTTCGCTGGCCCTTCCTTTGCTGTCCATTGTGAGACAAGAGTTCACCCTTACATGTTTGTAAGTGCGTCCTATCTGCTACTAGTTCTTCAGAGAATACTGTATTCGGAATAAGATTATGCGTTCGGGACAGGACAAACACGAAATCATGAGCAGGTGAGGTTCGTGTTTCACCCTTTGGGTTTGCGGCTACCCTCTCTCGTGCCTGCCCTTACGGGTCAAAGGGAGCGGACATGAATGGCACGTGACGCGATAGCGTGTGAGTGACTCCACCGAAGTTTCAGAAGCGCTGCACTTACCGGCATCTCCCCGGCCGCGTAGTCGATGATCTCCAGTTCCGCCTCCCGCCCGTCCAGCAACACGGACACGGTCTTCTGCCCGCCCTCCTCGTCTGCAACAAATGCAACGCTCTCTTTCTCTTTCTTTGCTGTGGCACCAAGGCTGCAGATGCTGTAGTCCAAACCGCCTCCCCCCCAAACACTGAAACAAATATGCAAGATAACATTTTTGTCATGACGTGTGGCAGTGCGTAAAACGTATCACACTAGTGTTTGCATCTTAGAGAACGATTTTTATACAAAATATAAACGATATCACTCAAAAATTTGTTTAAAAAAGAGAAGAAAGTTCATGACACATAGACTGTAATATATGTACACTACTTGATACGTAATATGTAAACTTCTGACACTATATATTTATATAAGGTAAAAAATGTTACTACCTACAGCGCCCCCTTTTTGTTAATCCGGCACTGCGTGGCACTAACTCCCGTTCTAATTCACGATCTCTGATCTGTCATCCACGCGCAGAGAAAATAATAGTGAAGATAATAAGTGATGAAGATAATAACAGTGCGAAGCAGGGGCAATCCCCAAATATATTTAAATGCATCCAGTAGTGCTATTCTAATTGTTTACTAAAATACTTTCAGTACAAAGTCTCTTCACTATAACACTGATTCCTCGCATAACCTTCAGACTGTGAAACGATAACGCGTGCAAACTAAATTTTACCATTATTCATTAGTTCAAAATGAATGGCAAAAGTATATTATTAAGATTTCCCCAAACTGGTCCCCTTTGCTGCCTTCGTTTTCTACACTTACTGTATAAGTGCATAATTGAATTTATAAGTAGCTGCAGTGAGATACGGCTATGACGGACTCGGTTTACAGATTTTCCCCATCCAGGTATCTCCACCAGCAAGGCGCCATTGTAGGAGATACCTCTAAGCTCCAAGGTACAGAAATATCAAGTTCTAAGCTCCAGGCTGGTGTCGCGACATATGTGGTAGTGTAGTGCGTGTTAGTGTAAGTGTGTGCGTAAGGTGTGAGGATAGGGCAAGGAAGAGGAAGGAAATATGTCACGCTGTTCGTGGCTCCTTTGTTAGGATACTGAACTCGCCTTGTAAATAAGTAGGAACAACGGAAAACTGCCAATCAGAGCAGCCGTCCGCTAGAATTCTCCTCTAGCCAGCGGATGAACTCGACCTAGCTATCGAGCTAGTGTCGAAAATCCATTGACGGGACTCAAACCCTAGAACCTCCCAATCAGAGGCACTGTGGGAACAGCTCCACGACAATTCATATCTAACGGGGAGACGAATGAACGGGTCCCCCGCCGCCGCACATGTACGACAACACGCTGACATCCGAGTCCATCTGGAACCTAGTTTGCTCTCACATGGTTGGGCCGCCCTAGCAAAAGAACTCCTAGCTTTACAGGCTAGTGCCGGAGTCAATATCATCGTATGATGACACGCCACTCACATGCGCCGGAACCCCGAGTCCCTCCTCTCCGCCCAGAGCATTGGCCCACTGCCACGACGAACCCGAGAGCCCCACTGGAGGCCACCCGAGGTAAGGTCCGGGCGACTCGGAGCCCCCATCCCGTCTTCTCACTGCCTTCACTATGGCAGAACCCAGAGAACCTAGGCAACCTGGCGGTGGGTAATTTATCGCCGCACTTTTATATGTGGTTTCCAGAGCGTTCATAAGAACCTCCTTCACCCAATCCTGCCCAAAGGTCGGCACGCCAGGGGCCCAACTGGTGGGATACTGGGTTGAACCGATAACCAGGAGCTTGATCATTGTCTACTTACGGCCTCCACCTCGACGCTAACGGTGCGTATTCCACCGTGAAACTAAGAGTCCGGGTGGGCGCCTGCGGCTCGCCACCATGCCTCCCTACGCAGGCCCGATCCCCCTGCTGGGAATTAAAGGCTCTAGGTGATATCAGTAGATGCCCCGAGCCACCTCAACCGGTTCTCTTGGCTGAGTCGCCCGCGGTGGGAAGAGCGTGATTCTTTGATTTGTCACTCACCGAGGGAGGTGTCGTAGGCGCAGATGTACTCGGAGGTGGTGAACTGGCAGGCGAGCGCCGTCTTGCCCACGCCGGACGCGCCCAGCATGGCCACCTTGAACTTGGGCACCTGCTCGGGCACGCTGGGCGACGCGCCGCCGTCGCCGCTGCCGCCGCCCGCCGCCCCAGACCCAGCGCCGTCCTCCGTGCTGCAATCGCCAAGCCGACATGTCGCTTCTTTTACTACTTTCTCGTAACGAGAGAGAGAGACAGAGAGAGAGACAGAGAGAGACAGAGAGAGAGACACAGAGAGAGAGACAGAGAGAGACAGAGAGAGAGAAAGGGCTTCTAATGTTTTAAAAAATGTTTACATCATAAGGCAAGGTGATCGACCTTTTCATGACGAGACGGGAGTGTTCACCCGCCGAGGCCGGGGCGGGGATCGTTATGTCGAGTAATGAAAATAATTTTTGGCCGTGTCATGTACAGTTCGAGATAATTCGAGATAATTTTTTTATGCATTTTCCCTGTAATTACATTATATCACTGACATATAATGTGGTTATCACTCGATTATTGTTCTGTTAGCATGACCACATATTGAACGCTATTCAATGGCCACTAAATTCACCGCTAACTCAATATATTTTGACATGAAACCTTTGCTACGTGGCTTGCTGATTGTAGTTTGTTTCTTAGCTAGATGAAGACGTGCCTTGGGATGCAAGTAAAAGGTCTCACGTACGCGTTGACAAACGAGACCTATACAAATCAACACAAAGTCACGAAATTTGAATATAATGCAAGGCTCCTTGCTTCCGCATGGGCTGCAGTTACAAGGCGAAAAGATGGTGACAGTGGAGTAAAAATAATCATTAATGGACGCAAAACAGTACATTAATGAGCTACTTTCCCGACAGCCTCGAATAAAACAATTTTTCTTACTTCCCTAGGCAGTAATTTACTTAGAGTTGTCAGAATCCACGTTTTACATGTTCTTGATACCGATATTTTGTCCAGCAAAACGTCTTGTCAGGCGTGTGTGTGTGGAAAGCACGCTAGCGCCCAAAAGAAATTTGTTACACGGATCCGAGTCGTACAAGTGCAAATGGGACCAGTCGTTGTTCGGGAACTATTCTTTCAGCTTTTTCCATTAGCTCCTTCATGTGTTGGTTCTGACGTAAGAAGTAGTTCCTTGCACAAAGTAGAGCCTTCTCGTTCCCTGGAGGCTAATAACCGACAATCTCCTAACAGAGAGAGGACATTTTTTCTTGATCCACAATGCAGTCATTATTGTACTTCTCATTTCGCCTGCGTCGAAGGAATTGTGTGTTGTCTTGCAAATCAGGACAACTCGTTTGAGAAGCAAATCTCCACAAAAATATTTTTAGAAGTTTGTGTTCTCGTTGACTGTTTTTAATTATTTACGATATTAGTGTCGTAAAGTATCTAATTACAATAGGCCAAAATTGACAAACGAGGCCGTTAGGCCGAGTTTGGTAACCAATTGAGTATTGTAATGAGATGTTACGACACGAATATCATACAACGCTTTATTCACAGTAAGTTTGCTCACTTATTAGCGTTTTTAAAGGGGAAAAGTGCAGGATATGAGAAATTTTTTTTTTTTAGAGAAGAGTGGCAAAGTATGCCATTATTTTACCACCCTAGTGTGGTAATGAAGAACATTACCACTCTGGAGTGGTAAAGTATTGCGTTAGAAAATTGATTATAATAGCATAAGGTAAAGTGGATAAAAAGTTTTAAACACATTATGCCTTGTTCCAAACTTCTTCGAATCAATTCCGTTACTTTTTTAGCAAAATGTGTGACTTTGAGTTTTCTCACAGGTCGTCGACACTGGATATTCATGTCTAAAAACGTCTTTGGTGGCCTTGACAGAAGCGCTCAAGCGTATTTGAGAATCAGATTTCCAAACTTCAGTGGTTTCCGACGGTTAGTTTCGTTCCGTCTACATCCCGCGCCGCCCGCTCGTCCTGCCCTGCTCGACCCCGCCCCGTGACATACGGCAACGCCCAGCAACAATGAAGCCCAGGTGGTTTGGGAATTGCATGCAACTGACGCGCCATCTTGTGCTACAATGCCATATAGTTTGGATATATAGGATTATATTATATTGGTTATGTGCAATATATATAGGATGTCCAAGGAAGAAACAACCAAACATTGAAAACAAACTCTTAAGTAAATTTTAAACACATTTTGTCTAATATAATACTCCTTCGATATATCGAGTGGTTGAGCCACATAAACGCTCAAAAATTGGTTTCAACAAACAGCTACTTTCTATGCCGAATTTGGAAATTTCTGAAAGTTATAAAAACTCCAGAAACACTTAAATTGTTTATTCTTTACAATATATATTCTATATATATATATATATATAATATTATTTTATTATATATTTACAAAAGAAAAATTAACTCAGAAAAAAATAATTGTGTGAATTAGATGCTTTTTTATTCGTATTACTTTTTTGTTTAAGACAAAAATATTTACATCAGTTGTAAATAATAAAAGATTCACTTGCTTCTGGGGTGTTTACATGTTTCTGAAACGAAAATTTGTGCTTAGAAATTATCTTTTCAAACCAACTTTTGCGTGCTTGTTGCGACTCAGCCATACGGAATCTTGAAGGACAAAATATGCTTAAAATTTACTTAAGAGCTTATTTCCTCCCTGGCCTCCCTAGCTCTCGGCCTGCCACGTGGGGCGGGGCGGACTGACCTGGACGCGCGGAGCGGCGAGGTGGCGTCCGCTTCGCTGGGCGCCGCCCCCGCGCCGTCTCCGCCGCCGCCGCCCCCGTCTTCGCCGCCGCCCCCGCTGTCGCCGCTGGACGCCGTGGAGCAGCTGCCCTGCAAGTGATAGCAAAGAAGAAACAAGGTGTGTTATAAAATAGACGGTAAAACCCCGGAATAGAAATCTTCGCGTAGCGAGATGATAATATAGGTTTTCACACGAGGGGTTTTTGTCAATAGAAGAGAAAAAAGTTCTACATGTTAGTTTGTGCTTTGTACTGCCAAGTAAAATATAATCTCTTGTAGCATCGGCTTTCACACCTTAGCAATCACCACGAGATGTGGCTCAGGGCATCAACTGATGTCACTGCAGTGTATCTGACCAGGATACCCTACGTTCGAGTCCCGACGATTGCAGGATATTCGACACTAGCTGGTCAGCTAGGTCGAATTCAGTCGCTGTCTGTAGGACAATTCTGGCGGCCTGCTGCTCTGATCGATAGTTTTCCGTGGTTTCTCCAATCAACAGAAGGCGAGTGTAGGAGCGGTACCCTAAAAAACGGGCCACGGATCGCGCGCGATCTTTCCTTTCTCTTCCTTCTCCTATCCTCATTCTTCACACACACACAAACTAGCATGCACTACACTACTAGACATGCCGGGGCATTGATGGAGAGGTTAGAGCTTGTCCCGGCTGAGGCGGGGCTTCGCTAGTGGGAGATACCTGGTCGGGCAAAACCCCGCTGCCCGACTGTAGGTCACCACCGGTCTCGCCATACAGCGGGGGAAGATCACTTCTTACTCCAGAGCAAATAAAATATGCACTGCATTAAAGGGCCTAATAACATTGGAAGTTGACGTGCTCGGAATCACTAACAATCAATTAATCAACACCTTAGCAATCATTTCAAACTGGACCTATACACATTAACTGACAGGAGAGTAACTAGAGACCCGAGGCAAAATATGATAATGGGCCCCACTCTTTATTATTTATCTAAACTCAACCAGACGAGTTCAGTGAGTGAATATTGATTCCAAAAGCGTTAGCTACTGAGGTGATTGGTCCTGTAAGAATAGTGCATGTTGCACCCCGTGTCCCTCCTCCGCTGGAACGTGAGATCCGGCGCCGACCTGCCGGCGGCTGGTGGGTTTCCTCCATCCGAGTATCTCCCTAACAATACACTACACTAGTGGGAATAACCTCTAAACTCGCGACTTGTATACGCCTATAGTATTGATACGCTTACAGTGTTGATATTGATACGCTCTACGCTGATACGCTAAGTACTGATTGTAACCCAGGTAAAACTATCGATGTGATTAACCGGCCGTACGAATTCTCCTCCAGATCGTCTGAATTCGAGTAGGTAGCGACGTAGTGTCGAATATCCGCCTCCGTCAGGACTCCACCGATCGAACCTATCGGTCAACAATGTTCCAGAAGCAATTGATTTTGCTACTGAGCTTTCGAAGTTTGTCCTCAATCAAACCAGTTGTTTCTAGTAGTGATTAACTACCTCTTAATAATGAAAGTAGGGTTGTACACTTTAATCCAAGGAAAAAGGTTTCGATAAATGTCTCGGTAATGTGTTCTATTATAATTATATCGTTATATCGTCTGTAAAATCCTGTTAACGAGTAAATATACAATGAGTTTGAAACATTTGAAAGCCAATTTTAATCTTTTTTAAAAATAAAACCTCGATCACAAAAAAAAAGAAAAAAAAAAACCTCCACTCGCAAGCCCCTATATCCGGGATCCAATGCCACGGATGAGCTGGCCTGCAGGTGGTAGTTATGGCCCTGCCCATCGCCATGTTTTTACTGCAGCTCGACTTCGCCCGAGGAAACTGTGCACATGGAGAGAGATGAACTGAATGCCGTCTCCAACTGAATGCCGTCTCAAAAATGACTTCCCATTTTTTTTGCCATGCAGCATCGGCCCAAAAAAATTACTTTAACATTTCGGGTAAGAAAGCAAACAAGCAAACCAATGTGACAAACTACTAACGCTACTGAAACAAATTCCTGCGCGATTACAATCCCTAGCTTGCATTAGGCTACCTGATGTTTTTGATCAGCAATAGTACGCGCAGGTGGCTCTACTCACAGAGAAGAGAGACGGCTACACTGAATACCGTCTCAAAAACATCGAATCCCTAGCTCGTCTACAGACAGTCTCAGTAAAAAAAATCACATTTCATGTAACAAAGCAAACAAATATAATTACAAACGTAGCCTGTGACAGATCACAATGTAATAATCAAGAAATATTTATTCGACAAGGTTTGAAACCATGAAGATTTTGTATGTGCGTGATTGGCTGGTGGCGGCATTAGTTGCGGTTTAAAAGTGCCGGAAGTTTATAGGAAACGGACGGTTTCCTTAGTATTAAATATACTGTTCTAGAGAAGAAGGTAGATTAGATGTTAGGTGTTAATATTTGTTTTCGTTCTTATAATTTCATTTTTTGCTTAATTTAAATGTTATAATAAACCATTGTCCTTTGAAATTCTAAGTATGATTTTTCTTTACAGATATTATTTTCAGCGATTTCATGGAGAACGTCATTAGCGTGTGATGCGGGGGCCATCTGCCCTTATACTTTGTATAAAACTGGCAAATAATACGAAGTTGTCGGTTCAGTACAAGCCAACACAAAAATTTCTAGGCGATTATAAACCCTAGCTCACATTAGATTAATGATGTTTTCTGAGCATTGACAGAATGGGTAGATGGCTCTACTGTACATGCGCAGTGTCTCCCTTCTCGAGTGTCTCGCACACGTTTTAATGGCAGTCGAACACACAGACATCTCGCACAAACTCTACCATGACGCATCCGAGGTTATGTTTGAAGTACGGTCTCTTACGGCGACAGTGGTGCCGGATGTGGGACTTTTCTCCTATACTGTATGAATTAAAATTTACGCTATCGATGATGTCGACGAACCCCGCGGTATAGCAGAGCGCTAGTTTAGCGCTCAATTAGTTCGTATCAAACCTTTCCAATTGCAGGAAAGCGTATTTTCTTCCCTCCCCTCAAATCTATAACTACCCTCTTCTAGAAAAAAATATTTTCTTTAAATTTCCAAGATCATTATCACTGTTGATGAAGAATACGTTTTATGGTTGGCGGAACATTCTTGATAAATGCACTTTCCTGTAGATTGCATTTCGTAGGAAGTCGTCGAGTTTTGTTTCCCTGCTATTAACACGCTTGAATCGAGTTTTCCTCTTTTTATTGGGAGTTTTAATTAAACCACTTTCAGATTGTCTCGCAAAGACAGTCGTTCAACAGCTGCAGCTGCTTTGCCTATAATCCCTTGCACTGATTTCTTGGATTCTTCTCTTTTAAGTAGGTGTACACATAAAAACCTTTTGTTTTTCCCACTTATGAGCATTTTACCACGCTTGTGCTTTAGGATGGTGTAGATGGTGTAGGCACAACTTACTACCTACGGCGGATGGCTCGTATCAATATTTATATATATATATATATATATAATATATATATAATATATATATATATAATATATATATAATACATAATATATACATACATATATATATATATATATATATATATATCATATATATATATATATACCATACACACACACACACGACATATATCTGCCACTTCTGTGACGATGTTCCATCTTAAGCCAAAAACATGGAGTATAACTCGTTTATGGAGTAATCCCCCGTTAATTATACTATTACTGTACGGCCCTTAAGCCGTGTCGTTGTCAAGAGGACTGCCAGGAAGCATCTCCACGTACGCGCCTCTCTCTTACGCGCTCCTGCGTCATTACCCAGCGGTCAGAATTGAGAAGGAATTTGGATACGGGTTGGTTTAGAACGCTCCACAGGGATTGGGCTAGCGCAAGTGAAGCAGGAAAACTCGATTTGATGGAACAAATTTCACATGAGATTGTCTGGGAATCGAAACTACCCATAACTACCCTAAACATCATAACGGGACCTCCTTAACGAAAAGCAATCGACTTCACTCTGCACCACAAGCGCCTAACTAAATAAATTTGACGAACAAAAAGAAATTAAATGTCGAATATTGTAAATTAATAAATTTATTATAAATTAAAAATCATAAGGAAAAAAACGAAACGACATTTATATTTGACGTGATTAAATTAATTAATGTCATAAACAACATAACGACGAATTCCTGCCGACGACCTGCAAACAACGCATTTCAAAACAACATATGATATGGCAGCCGGAGCAAGTGGCAATGTGGCGGTGGCTGGTCCAAGAGCCGAATACCCCTTCCTATAGCCCTTCCTACAAAAATTAATAAATTCTAAAGATGCTCACCCCGATTTGTTGTAAATAAATTATATATTCGTGGAATATTTGTACTAATATAATAATTGTTACGAAACATTTTGTTAATGAGAATTTAAAACAGTTTGAATATTTAAACGGGTGATGTTGCTTTACCGGAAAAACCTTTAAGGCCCTGTGCGGCAAACTAAACCTCGTACACGCCATATGTGTTATGCTTCCAATGTCTTATTGTATTGCTTCTGGTTGATTGATTGTTTAATGATTCTGGACAGGTCAACTGCTATGGTCATTTGTCCCGTAAGTGTAATGAATAATTTATCGCGAGAGGTGGCGTGATTTTGCCTCGCCGGATGGCGAGATCGATTGCGTCGATCTACGTCGGCTTTCGGGTTTTTTCCCCCAACCATATATCTCCCACCAGCGTGGCACCGTCCTAGCCGGGACGAGCTCTAAGCTTCCGATTGGTCTCACGGCCTATATGGCAATGAAGTGTATGTAATAATAAATGTGTGTAAGTAAAGCGTGAGGATCAGACTCGGAAGAGGAAGGAAAGATAGCGCGTGGTCCATGGCCCGTTTCTCAGTGCAATCACCTGGTAGTTGATCGGCAGAAAAACTCGATAAGAGCTATGGCAACGCTTAGAATTGCTTCGCTACAACAGCGAGCTGAATCCGAGCCTAGCTGTACCAGCTAGTGTCTGAAATCCTGCGAACCATTCGCATCTCACACTGTAGGACCTGCCACTGCAGGGACCGCAGTTGATGCCTCGCCGGTTGATGCTGCCCTGAAAGGGACTCGGCTGAGCGCGGGGCGTCACCTGCGAGGCGATGGAGTGCGAGCGGCGGGAGCGCAGCGAGTCGCCCAGGTTGAAGATGCCACTGGGGGTGATGGAGAAGCTGCGAACGCGGTAGTACTCCACCGCGCCGCCCTCGCCGCCGCCGCCGCTTCCGCCTCCACCGCCGCCGCCGCCGCCGCCGCTGCGACGACTGCCCAGGTGGCCCAGCAGCGGCTACGAACACAGTCGGAGAACACACTTACATCAGCTCTAACAGAGTTAACGGTTCTAACTGCATTTTTAAAATTTTTTGCTTTCAGGTGTACAACCTCGTTTGCAACGGTTTTGAATAAATTAGAGATAGAGTTGTGTAATAAAAAAATTAAAAAATTTACATTATCAATATTATAATACATAACAAGGCACTCAACATTTGCACATACATTTTATCCACTTTGATGGCAAACAAACTGAGATTAGCTTCTTAATAAATGCTATTAAACCACAAGTAATATGGCCCTCTATTAACAAGAATGATAAGTTTCATTATGAAAACGAAATGCGTTCAGAAGTATTTTAATAATCCATGACCTGCATTGAACCCCACTTATTAAACCTCGGTTTTGACATGTAGGGAGGGGGACAACCGGGGATTACAACTCAAGTATACATATATACGGAGAGAAAAACTCAAGTACACATATACATGACAGGTTACATCCTAAGCTCCAAAACTTATTCGTGATTCGACGAAATACTATCAACATATTCTTGCATCCTCCCATTCCCGTCCCCCTCTTCATTACTACCCTTCTCTCATTCCTCATTTTCTTCCAAAATAACTTCCATTATTTTTTTCACTTTTCATTCCATTTTATTATTATTATTATTATTATTATTATTATTACTGTTATTATTATATTCACTTAGTTAACAAAATATGTTCATTAATTCCAAGAGAAATCGTTGATTATCACTATGTTTACGGCATGCCTGCAATTAAAACTTAATCGTGCAATTAAAAGTCCACAGCAGTCAATCAGAACTCAGAGATCTGATCGAAATCATTTAATTATGTGTCTATAATACAGACGTTTCTAGACGGCCCTGAAACATGAACAAAAATGTACATCACACATTACGAACATCAAAAACATATAATCAGTGCACGAATGAAACAAAATTATAAACAAATAATTATTACTACTTCTTATACAACCATGTTAATATTTCTAGTACATTAAGTTAAATTGGAACCTAATACCCTACTCATACATCGCATCAATCAATCATCAGAATCATACTTGGCATCAACCCAGAGAGAGCAGTTGTTTTGGAAAAACTCCTTATGTGTTTTGGAAAATCAAGTAAATTATATTATAATTTAAAATATCGCTATTCTCCTTTGAACGCCACTTCTTCAACATGAACAAGTTTACCCATAAGCATGTTGGTTTGACACTAGCTGAATAATGGAATAACATAAAATACTTAACATGAATAAAAAAAATACTGAACAACATGGATAGTACACCAGCAAAACATCAGAGTCGGAACTGAATCGTCTTTCTCCTTTCCAACATTAACACGTGTTGTTTCCTCATACATACCCTTAGTTTTCGTACGAAGTAATATATTCATGGCTTTGTCAGCATCTAATATTTCAACCGGAATACGTTAATCTTTTCCATTTTCAAACGTAATTATGAATTACAATTATTCTCTAAGACACTAAGGTGATGTAAATTTACACTGGAAGTTCTACTGAAATAGGTCTTGTTGAAAACCAAAATGATGTCATTAAATACATACCTCTCATGGTAGAGATGTAATTGAATATCTCAAAATTAAAATTACTCTCTAATGGAAACCAAAAAATATTGAACGAAACACGTGGAAAAGGGGTATAATTGCACTCATGGTAAATAAGAAAACTCGCTCCTATTGTCGCTCGTTTTCTTGAACATACTATTCATGCAATTAAACCCCTCTTTATATACTCGTTTCGTTAATTACTACAAATTATTATTATTATTATTATTATTATTATTATTATTACATGCATGTGTAATTATAGTGGCACAACAGTTGACATGATAGACGCGAATGAAATCGAAGTCGTGGCTTCTTATGGCGGGCAGGAGCGGGGTCAAGCAAAGCAGCAGAGGGCGAGAAGTGCGGAAAGAAGCAGGGTGGTGCACGCCAGAACAGGGTTAACTATTGACAGGATTCATTCATTTTCCTACCTGAAGAGATAAATATGATAAATAAATACCTAGGATTGAATTCGGCTTTCAACTTCACGAGCGATTTAATATCACGGGATTCTCCAAGTTATTTTTATATTAGAGTTGCCATTTCTGCATCTTTCATTGCATTTCATAATACCATCAGGCGCCTTTATTGTGGTTAAGTAACATACTCATTCACACATATAGCAATCTTATGCAACGTAGTCATTTCGGAATAAAAGAGGGAGAAGTGGCGATCTGTAGACTATGAAAAGATCTATCGTGAACATATGTAGTTATTTATTACTTATCCAATTGAGATATTTAATTACTTTCGTTACTATAGAAATTTAGCAAAAACCACATTTGTGAATGTTTCTTCAGCTTCTCGTCCAGGGGGGGGATCTGAATTCCCATGACCCCTCTCTCCTTGGTTGCACCACTAGGAATAACCAATGTTATTCACCACCATGGATGTCACGATCGTGGCAATATTAATTTTTCACTATTTTTTTAAAAATATTCTACTATACGGGATCTAGAAGTAGAATGTCAGAAAACGAGAATTTTCCTTAGAGATTCAGATGCATTCAACACTCTGCTCGACTTTGGTTGAAGACTCGACAAGTTGTACAAATTAGACCTGCGTTACCGACTAATACGTCAGCATGTTTATTTTTTTTCAAGTTAACAGAGTCATCTCGTTTCTGATCTTCCATTATAGCTCAAGACTGACAAACATATTTATTTTCATACACATTTTCTTATTTACGATAAAGAATGCAGTTCTGAACTAATTCACTGGTAGGTTGTTAACATAATTTATAATAATTATAATATAATTCAGTATCCGAGAAATTTTTTGACAGAGAGGTTACTTATTAATTTTAGATACTTGTGTGCATACCAGACGGTTATATACCTTGTGGTTACTTAAGCAACTATTGTAATTTTACTTCCTCGCATACTACTTATCTAGTAAAGACAAAGCTTTGTAATATTGCGGCAAAACGACGATTTTAGATAGAAGAACACGTACTGTGTAGCCCTGATACAGAAAAAGTGTATAAATCTTGTTCCAAAA